TTTTTTTTTTTTCTTATCAAGCGATAGATATTCTCATTCCACACAAAAACAATACAACTCCAAACAAGGCAAAAGCCCCAAGACAAATACAATGAGAGGTCTGCTCCACGCTAGCAACCTAAACAAACCAAGATCAATACCTAACCATTAATAACAAGGAATTAAAGGCAGACTAATACTCGTTGCACCCTCCAATCCTTCAGAATACATAATAAATAGAATACAAACTACTTAAAGAATGAAAACATACAAGCAAGGAAAAACATACCACTGACACTATACCTAGTACTTTCACCTCACTGCAACAGTCCTTCACTCTCTGTTAGCTTTAAAATCTCTCCAATCTTGCACGGATTCCTTAATTATCACCCACTCTGGCTTCCAGAAACTTTCAAAAACCCAAATGTTTCTTGTCTTTCATAGCCACCACAATATGTATGTTGAAAGTTGGATTCTATCCTCCGAGGTTTTCTTATGGTCCATTGTGCATATCCACCACCGCCACTCCTTAAAGCTAAGTTGTTTTGTCTTCCTATTATCCTAATGAACTAGAGTCAGCTTCCATGTTCTAAAAGCCTTTGGACAAAGAAAGAACACGTGTTCTAGAGATTCCGCTTCTTCCCCACAGCTTTTACATATGACATCCACCTTAAGACCTCTCTTTTGAATATTCACTTCAAGTAATATATTTCAAAATCATTTCCAAATAAAGTGTTTTATTTTCCCCATCACCTTCAATTTCCAGCACCTCATTCTAGCTTTTGAGTTAAGCAAAACCACATTGCTACTATCTGCCTCCTTCAACATTCCAATCTTTTCACACAGTAAGGATGTATACATAGTGGACACATAGAACTTACTTTAGTGTCAAGAAGGCATTTCCATTTATCTGGCAGATTTGGGTTTAAGGTTTTGATCTTCAATACTTCCTCAGCATCCCTCTCCTGAAACATGGCTTTTACTAGATCCACATCCCATCTATAGCCTCTTATTCCCAACAATGCTTTAACTCTAACCGAAGACCCATCCACCTGAATTCTAATAGCCGAACTCCTCCCTTTAATTCCAGGCACCCAGTTGAAATCAGAAATTCTGGTCCCCTCACCATCTCTGACAACCATCTCCACTCTATTCTGAAGTAAAGGAATCAATTGGGTGCACGAATTCCATAGCCATGAAGCTTCTTGCTGCCTTTTGCACTCGAATAAGGAACCATTAGCAAAATACTTACCTTTAAGTACTCTACTTACCAATAAGTCAGGCTGATTTATGGTCCTCCATAATTTTTTGATGAAAAGAGCTCTATCGAACAACTTAATATTATGAAAACCTAACCCACCATACTTCTTTGGTACAGATATTTTATCCCATGACTTCCAGTGTAGCCCATGATGCTGCTTATCTGCCTTTGACCACCAAAACTTTACAATAACTCTGCTCATTTCCTTTCAAATACCTACTGGTAAGATGAAACAAGACATAACAAAATTTAGCATTGCATTAATAACAGATTTCATAAGCACCTCCTTTCCAATAGTAGATACGTATTTATTTTTCCAACTGCATATTCTGCCCTTCACTGCTTAAATAACATAAGAAAATGTATCCTTTTTTGATCTACCAATCCCCAAATGAAGTCTCAAATATTTAGATCTTTTTTTTTTTTTTTT